TTCCCACTACAAGCATCTGATGGCTGGGTGCAGCTCAACGGCTGCCACTTGGGGCTGCAGACAGGGAGTGTTTCATCCCTGCAGAAAGTGCTGCGGGTCTGCAGGTCTGGATCTTCATACTGAGAGATGATGAACAGCCACCTTGTACAGTAACAGGAAGAGCCCGAGAAAAAATTTACCTCTGCTTTCAGGCGCTACCTATGTCGCCAACATTTTACTGCATTTGAGAAACTGCTCAGAGCTGCCAATAGGGAACCAGGAGAGGCCTGCCCTCAACTGTATGCTCTCAGAGAGCACACAGTGGTCAGCATCAAAGGAGCAATCTTAGCTCTAAAACATGCTGCAACTCAAATTGAAGGAACAGAATGCAAGGAGGAATGGTGCCGCCAACATGGAAGAAATGAACCAGCCATCCCATGCACCCACAATTCCTAGCCGGAGCCCTACCCAACAACCCAGACCTCTGCAGAAATGAGAGCCTCAAAAATCACAGAAATGAAAACATTTAAAAGCCCAAAGGGATTTTATTTATAAAAACTCTAGTCTTTTAATGCCATTTTTGAAAACTCATTGCTGTAACCATGAGTAATCTCAATGGAAATGCTCCTGGTCTTCATTAGGAAACCAGATTTTAATTGTGAGAAGCAAGGGCTATGGAACAAGGCTGCTGAGGAAGCCCTCAGTCCTGGTCCTTCCTGCACTGATCAGACTAACTTGGGAGAATGAGAGAAGAGCCTGAGCCTCTCTGCACACAGCAATGACTACAATGTACACGACACAGTGCTCTGTGCATTGTGAGTGACTGAACTATGACAGTGACATACTTTATCACTTCAGTCTGAGGAAGCTTTAGGGAAAAATTCAGTGTTACTAATAATTATATTAACAAACCAAGTGTAAGTGGGGACTCTTCCGGGTGAACCAAGATGTACAGTCATCCTGGTTAATATATACAAAGTAGGGCTGGTGAGATGGCTCAGTGGTCTAAAGCACCTACTTAGAACAAGCTTTAGCAAAA